CACACTTCTCTCTAGCATCTGGACCCACTCATATCACTCCTCTAGTAATTATGTGTTTATTCATGTGTTCATTTATTTACTCACCCATTCACTCACTCACCACCTAGCTACCCACCCACAAATCCTCCATCAGTCCATTCACCCATCAACCCATGTGTCTACTCATCTACCCATCCATCCGCCCACCTACCCAGTCATGCATCATTGGCTCATTGCCCATCCTATCCACCTACACCCTCTTACCTACCTACCCTTCATCTGTCCATTCGTTCACCCACCCTTCCAGTTTCTCCTTATTTACATGCACTGTCCATGGCTCTGATGTGAGGTGGATGCCAGTCCTCCTTGTAACCCTGCAACCATGGCCACTCAATGCTGCTGAGTGGGGAGTGGAGAGGTGATGAAGGGCAGGTGTCTGTCTGCCCCGAGGTGCTAGCCTAGGCTGGAAAGGCTGTTCTCCAAAGAGCAGTGTAGAGATAACAGTCAGCAACAGACAGAGTTGGGCACCAGGGCCACTGCCCAGGGCAGGCCTCAAGACACAGCCTTCTTAGTGGAAACCACACAGAACCATCCGATGGCAATTCTGGTCCTGGGAGAGGAGGAAGGCATGGGGGAAGCTGAGGGCAGAGCTATGTGCACTAGGCAAGAAGGAAAACAGCACAAGGCAGGGCCACTCATCTCCCTTACTTTGAATCGCCATCAGGTCCAGGGATAGGCCCTCGGCTCTCCCTGTCCCAGAACCATTGACTGCTGACTTCCTCCCCAGATTCAGGTCTAGAAGCCAGAACTGCCCAGTGATGTGGAAAGAATGGGTTACTCTGGCCCAAGATCAGTTCAGTGGGCCATAGATCTTCCCTGTGTCCCAGATTGTGTTGGGGATGCTGATGCATACTGTCTCAATCAGTTCTTATAAGCCAGTAGGAAAGCCTTGGAAGCTTTAATATAGAGGAAGTGCAGAAAGGTTAACACCAAGGCACCAAGCTTGGATTTGGACCTGGGCCTCCTGCTCAAGCCACCTGTCCACTCAGGGGCTGAAAGGAAAGATGCCTACCTGGCAAGTGTCTTGTCATCAGAAGATCAGCTAAGTTTTAAAATTTGAATAAACACTAGGGCTTTTTGCAATCTGAATACAAAGTTCTGCCCAGTAAAGTGGCCAGGGAGGAGGTGGTGAGTGGGGCTCATCCTGGGATTTTGTTTTCATACCCTGAAGCACCCAGCCTTGTAAGTCTATCCATGGTCTCCTCCTGCAAAGCAAACAGTGCACCGGTCCCTGATTGACTGTATTAAAACACCCTTGTGAAACCTATTCTCCAAGCCGAGCACCAGTGGCTCAGGACCAAGCCACCCAGGAAGGAGGGCGGCCTTCAGTGTCACGAGCCCAAGCGTAGGCAGAGGGTCCACCTCATGCTTCAACGTCCCTTCGTGCATGCATGCCTTTCCTGCCAACCTTTCCTGCCCACTGTACTGGAAACTGCTCTGAGCATCACACGGCAAACTGAGTCACTTTCCCAGCAGTTGCTAGGGTGAGGGTGAGGGGCGGAGGAGAAGGTGGTAATGTAGAAACTTGCTCTAGTCAGTCTTTGCACTTGCCTGGGAACAGGGCAGCTGAGCATTCCTGGGAAGCCACGGGGGACTCTGGATGGGCTCTCCCACAGAGCCGCCTTGATCTCTTGGATTTAAGATCTAAGCCCTGAGCCTGAGGGAAATGCCCTGATGTAAGTTTCCATGACAGAAAGTGGCTGCAATGCAGGATCAGGACAAAGCAGAGACTGCCCCAGGGTCACTGGGCAGCTGGGGTGACTGAGAGTAAGGATACATCTATCCCCAAGGAGCAGAGGCACCCCTGTGGGTGCCTGTGCTGGGCTCACCTTCTGAGCAGCTTAGGTGCTGGTAGTCAGAAGGTACCTGCAGGGGAAGTGAGACACAACACTCACAAGCAGGCAGAGAAGTTTTTCTACTCGTTGAAGGCCGTGAGTGTAACAGAAGGCAGGGCATAAGGGCACTGGTACCCAAGGCTCAGTATGCAGCCAGGGGAGATGGGTTCTCTCTCAGACATGACCTTGAATTACACAGAGGCTCTGCGGATGCTCTGCTCTGGCATCACATAGCTTACTGAGCTTAAGAGTTGCAGAATAATATCTGGTGGCAGGGCTACACAACCTGGGGATCTAGATCATCTCGTCTTAGAACACCGTATTCTCTCCACCTTTCACCTGAGATCAGGAGGCAAGCTGGACAGCTAGGCCAGTGAGGTCTTCCAGGACCTACTGCCCGAGCCTCAGCCTGCAGCTGTCCTACTCCCTACGCTCTGACACTCCCAGGCTAGGTGGGTCTTTGCTCTCTGACATCCCACAGACTGGCTCAAGTCTTGGGTTCACAGAGGCGACACAGGAGCTCCTCAGAAGAAATGAGGCCACTTCCATCCCAGCATTGGAGTCCATCTTTAAGGATACCCAGAAGCCCTTATCCTTGAGACATAGTGACCAGAGTCCTTTCAAATTGTTATCTTGTTTCTCACAATGTCACAGGAACCTACCAAATGGTGGAGCAAGAAGAGGTTTTCCACCACTAGATACTGAAGTTAGTCTATACACTTGCCCCTAGAAAAGGCCAAAGAGCTTCCAAGGTCACATGATAACACTGAAATTCCTGAGCACAGCACAGAGAAACAGAGGCTGGACACATGGCTCAGCAGTTAAAAGCACTGGAAACCCCATGTAAAGGACCTGGGTTTGGTTCCCAGTACCAACATGGCAGCTCACAAAAGACTGCAACTTCAGTTCCAGGCATCTGACACCCTCTTTTGACTTCTGTGGGCACATACAGGCCTGTGGCCCACAGACAAGTAGGCAGACAAAACACCCACATACATAAAATAAAATAAAAATAAATAAGACAGCCTGAGGAAACAGCCTTGGATGGAAAGACAACCTTCCTATAAAGATAGATTTTCTCCTGGTGTTGGCCTGTCAGCTAAACAGAACCTCCAAATAAATCCCAAAGAACTCTTTGGATATGTGGGCTGAAGGAGTCAACTTCAATTGCCTAAAAGATTTCTGAATGAGATGAGAGTTGAGCATTTCCTTGCCGCACTGAAAACAGAAAGTTGAGAGCCAGAATACTAGAAGCAAGAGATGCTAATGTCAAGGCAGGCAGATCTCTGAGTTCCAGGCCAGTCAGGGATACACAGAGAAACCCTGTCTCAAACAAAACAAATGAACAACAAAAGAGGGAGTCTCACCTTCAACAAAGCGAGAATTCAGGCCTGTGCATGACTCAACAAGCTAGCCAGCTAAGTCTATCTGAACCCTACCTCACACCAAGCCCCTGACAATGAATCCTGAAATGCAGCCAAAGGCAAAATCATGCAAATGCAAACGATCCTGGCCTGTGATGAATTCCTAAGTGTGAGTTCCAAGGCTGGAGCACACATGCTCTTGGGCTTTAAAGTTAGAAATAGTTCTGATTTTTAAAGCTTAAGCTATTTTAAGTTAAAATGAAAAAGCTAATACATTACAAGGCAAATGACTAATAAAGGAAAATAACTTACAGAGGATATCCAAGGCTTTCCACTTTTAATATGTAAAAATGTTTTACAGATAGCCAGGTGTGGTAGTTCATGCCTTTCATCTCAGCATTTGGGCAGAGGTGGGCAGATCGCTGTCAGTTTGAAGCCAGACTGTTTTATGTAGCAAGTTCCAGAATAGCCAGGGCTATGTAGACAGACCCTTTCTGGAAACAAACCAAACTAAAACAAGCAAACAAACAATTTACAGATACAATACTTGAGTTTAACTTCTCCATTAGGCAAAGAACAAAACTGGGGGATAGGGAGATCCCTCAGTGGGAAAAGGGCTGGTCACACAAGCATGGAGATCTGGGTTCAGCTCCCCAGAGCCCACATCAAGCTGTGTGTGGAAGTGTGTGTCTACAGCCACAGTGCTTCTACTGCAGGTGGCAGGGAGACACAGACATTAACTTTCCTGCTGTGCACAGCAGCTCTAACAGGATGGAAAGCCAGGACGGATCCCAGAGGTCATCCTCTGACCTCTACATGCTCACTGGGCACACATATACCTGCATACACACACACACACACACACACACACACACACACACACACACACCAACCAACCAAACATTTTTAAAATAACCTAAGGACAGATGCCACCACAGGACAGCAAGGACAAATGAGAATGGGTTGTGAGGTGAGAGAGGACATATAGGTGACCCACTCAGGCAGTATCAAAGACAGATGATATGGTATGTCAGCTGCTATGAAATGCTTCCACCCTGAGGACATGAAGTTTCCTGCCTTGCTGGGGAAGCAGCTGGGGAGGAGACTGACCAAGGGCATCTCTTTCCAGCCTCTGCTGATGTTTGTGCTTACACAATGCATGCACCAAGTTGCTTTCCATAAGTGAGACTGCTGCACAGATAGTAGGCTCAGCTGGCCACTGCCCATACTGTCTCTATTCTTCTATGGCAGTTTGGTATCCAAAGTCCTACAGCAGAGCATACAGAGTGAGTCCCAGCCAGAGCTAGCCACATACAGGTGCATATGTGCCACACTGAGATCGGAGTGCAAGCCTCTAGACTCAAGTCTCTCAGGAAGAGGCCGCTAACCTTGTGGTTTGGTGAAGGAAACAGCCACACCATCATTTCAAGTGGGAAAATATGCCCATCCCTCCCCCCCACACACAAAGAAAAGCATCCAATAGGATGCATGCTAACATGACACCTCGTGATACAAAGCCAGGTGATGAGGGGGATCCTTGGGAGAGGCAAGATGACCACAGAACACAGGTCACTCCTACTGCTCAAACTTTTGGGTGAAGGCAACTTGGCAGGAGACAAAAAAAACCACAGTGAATAGGCTCTGTGCCTTGTGACCAAAGTAAATGAGTAAAAGGTGTGAGGTCACCAGAAACATTTGTTTTCCTCTTTTGAACCCTGCTGTTGCTCAACAGCATCCATACACAACAGGAGAAAGCAGGGCCTCAATTTCAACACTTTATTGCAATTACTCAAGTTTTTACTGCTGTTTACCAATGTTTCATTTTTAAGGGCCCTTTACAAGTTTGTGTTAATTATGTGGCCCCTGCCCACAGGCCTGTTTCCCATGCCACCACCCTCAGGACTGAGGAGTGAAGTGCATGCACACAAGCAGAGACTTGGGATGCAGGCTTCATCCCCTCAAGTCATGTGATGCCTGCAATCTAACAGGACAGCCCTCAAACTTCGTGACCAGAGAGCCAGTCTCTGCCCCAGGGACAAAGACATACCCAATGGGTGGATATGAAAACACACATACACACATATTTTTTAAAAACTCCCTCAAGACCACTTTGTGACTGCACATAAACTCTTGGGTATGTGAGCGTGCAATGGAGCATGGTCAACCCACCAGTGGCCATTCTTAGGGAAAACTGACTCTCCGCGCCCCCCCCCCCCCCCCCCGAAGCCATAGCTGCTGATACATTTTTCTATCATTTCAAATCTGTTGGCACTGGCTACCAAGGGAAGCTCTGCAGTCAGACTGCCTGACCCTGGGAACCGTGTGACTTGACTTAATGTAACACTCTTCTGACCTTGGCCACTTCTGTGATATGCTGGCCAGTCTCCGGTCAGACAGGATAGTAAATCAAGCTCCCACACAAAAGTATGGTCAGGTGAACAGGTGGCTGAGGTGACCACTGTGTGGCAGGACCCAAGAAGATCTAAGACTTATTCTTCATTGTTGGGAAAAGCCACAGATCCAGGTGAAGGGGATCATCTGTGAACGCACGGCCCCCATGCTCCACAAGGACTCCAGTTAGGTTAGCGGTCCCCAGAGCCAATCCATGACATTGGGCTGGGGTGGAACTCTGGGGAGTGGGGCTGAGCCAGGATGGGGTGGTGGTTAACTAAGATCAAGGTGGTGAAGAAAGAGGCTTTTGGGCTCAGCAAGCAGCCGGGGCTCAGAACACCCCATCAGAAAGGTTAAGGGTAGAAGATCCTTCCTAAAGCTGGAAGGGATGGCAGCATGGCCCCTGTACCTTTCAGAAGCACAAGGATCTTGCTGTGGCCAGTGTAGCAGGGTCATGCCGTGCGAGTTTGCTGAGGGATACTTGGTGGGGGACAGATGGCTCTGAGCATTTCTCCTGTTATAGAAATAAAAAGGACTGAAACCATTGCCAATCAGTCACTGACACAGTGGGGATGTCATGATGAGTAAACTAGATGTCCCTACCACCACCACACACTTTCTCTGTGGGAGCACGTCCTCAATGGAAACTTCTGGGGCCACCAAAACAAATGATAAAACATTTTCCCCCAAGAAAATCTCCAAATTATGTCATTCTGACGGTCCATGGTATGGAGCCATAAGTGGTTAGTAAAACCAAGGTATAGCCATACCACAGAAGGATTAAAGAATGAGAAGGCAGAATAGAGAAGAAAGCTTTGTAAAAATCTCCCATGGACCCCAAAGTTCACCTGAGCAGAAGCCTTCATTGTGAGCCCTGACTTGACCTTCCTAACTGTGTTCCCAAGAAGGCATGGATAAAATCCTCTGTTAAAATCCCAAGACCTGCAGGGGGACATACATACTGTGCAAACTCCCTGGCCCTGCATGTGAGGCATGGCCTTTCCCCATTTGAGGATGGGTATGACAGGTTGACCAGGGGCAAGGAAAATATAGGGTGTGTGTGTTTTTCAGCATGGGCATCTTGTTGTCTCCCGGGTCCAGGCCACTGGATCGGCTGCTTCTGCTGCGGCCACCTCTCCCACCATGTCTACAGCTGGGACTTCAGCCTGTTGGCCACAGGCTTGTTGGCAGTGAACTCAGGCCACCAGGCGGCACGCTCCAGCACACCGTGCTGCTGCAGGATGGCTGACCACAGGTTTTTATAGAGCTGCAGGTAGAATGGAGGCTGTAATTAGCAGAGGATAAGAGGCCAGTGTGATAGCGTGATAGCCGCTGGTTTGTGACAACAGGAAATTCTTCACTATCTCTTTTTTGTTTGGAGATGTTAAGATAATGTATGTTTGATTTATATAAGCTTTTTTTTCTAGTAGGAAGTAATTAAGAAAATTTAATTATGAAGTACCATAAAAGCGTTTCTGATGGGAACCATCCCGCTGTGAAATGTTCCCTCCCTGGGAAGTCTCTGACTACAGCGGCCACCCCTACAGCAGCATAGGCTCCTTGCCCCCACCCCTACCCTCACCTCCCACATTTGCCAGGACATGTTATCTTTTCTGAGGCCTGTCCCCAGCTACCCTACAGCTCAGGATGCACAAGCCAGGAGACCGGGGCAGGGGCTTGGGTCCCCAATGGCCCCACTAGAGTCTTAGCTGTTCTTAGCCACAGTTCCTCAGTGAAAACAGGTAGAGTGGAAGCTATCTGGGGGGAAGGTACAGACCTGGGGTATGATATGCCAGCTGCAGACATGGACACCTTGGGCGGAGTCAGCTAGGGCAGAGCCATAACAGAGAAGATGGCTTAGAGGGACCCATGGCACACAGCTGCCCTCTCACACTGCAGACAGAGCCTGCTCCCCCATGAGTGTGAACTTGGCACATTTCACAGTGCTGAGCACCGTGCTGCCCTCGGTGCTCTCTCAGACCCCAAGTTGAGTTTGCACATCAGAAGCTGTGTCTACCTTTAAGAGCTGGGTCGGAGCACCTTACTTATGCTGGAGAGTGTGTGCAGTTCATCACCCTGCCAGGCAGTGACTGGGGGCCATGGGCTGAGCTGCAGCACTCAGACCAGAAGTCCCTTTCCATCCAGGGACAGCTCCTCTCCACCTTCAGCAGGTCCTGATCACAGGGCACAAGCTGCCGTTCCTTCTTCAGGTGGCCTGTAGCGTCCTATCATGCAGGTCCTTACGGATGCCAGAGAGGCCTGTCTGCCTGGGGGGATCCAAGTGAGGCCTGCCACACTCCTCAGTGCTCTGTCCATCAACTCTAACACCAGGGCCCAGATCTCTGCCCATGACTGGCTGTGCTGTGCACAGACCACCTGGCAGGCTTCTGGGCACCCTGGGCTCTTATAAAAATGATACAGTAACACAGTGGGCCATTGGCCCTGCCTGCAGATGCTCCCAATGCATCTGGAATGCTTTGCTCAGCCCTGGTTCATATCTGCTCCCTGGATGCCCATCCCAATGCACATGAAGCCTGAGTGTGCCGATCTTGGGATTCAGGCCGTCCCCAGACAGGCTCCTCCCAGGCTTATGCAGCACCGAATCCAAAGGTGCTTGAAGACAGTGAGCTCCATCCCCTCACAATCGCTCTCCATCTCACAGAAGGACCTGTGGTCCTGGGATGAGCTGGTTCCCATGCCACAGCTCACAACCATCAAACCTCAAGCACGTGGCTGGAACACCTTGCAATGTCATGCTGCCAGAATAATGGAGCCCCGTGGGTAGCAAGGTACTGTGGGAATGTCAGGCTATGAGTTTCTCCCTACATGAGCATCACCTTGTGGTAGGGTGTCACACAGGAAGTTACTTCTGAGCTGGCAGGGCCACCTGACAGAAGCATGGGTGCTTGTGCGAGGGGACAGAGATGGTGGGGCTGGAGCCAGGCCCAGTGAGCAGAATGGTACTCCAGACAGTGTCGTAGCATATGCAAGGGCCTTGTGGTGGGAACCAGCCCAGCACACTGGAACAGAGGGGAGAATGGGGCTGGGGCTGGAGGGCCGGAGCAGTACAGTATAAGATGACAGAGTAACGGGGGTGGGCAGGGCAGGAGGGCGCAGCAGGGGCAGAAGACTTCAGGACATCCTGTGGATGGAGAGGTCTAGCCCACTAACTGCTTCTGAAGAAACCATTCTAGAATTTGGAATTGAGTGGGCTAAGGAACTTAAGTGAGGGCTGTGGGGGCTGTTCAGGTAGGCACACAGGGACAACGGTCCCCTCGACTGGGATGACCAAGGGGTAGTCAGCTGCGCTTGGAGGGCAGGCTATGGGAGAACTTGAAGATGCTCAAGATTTTAAAGCAGAGAAAGCAGTGGAGTCACGTCTGACCTGAAGGGCCAGGGCCAGGGCCAGGAGGGGTAATGGTATCTGTGACTTAGCTGCAGGGCCCATGTGGAAAGCAGGCAGGAAGGGGCAAGGAGGCTGAGACCTCAATCCTCACAGAGGAACTGTATGGCACCCCAGCAGTGAAACTTCCTTGTTCCACAGGGTAAAGGGCCCCCAGGAATGGGTACGCAAGACCACAGAGCTGGAGGGGCAAAGAGCTGTGATACCACCTGTTTTTTCTTGGCCCCAGAAGGCCCCCCATTTGAGACAATTTCCAGGAAGGCATCCAAGACTGCTCACTACCTTAGGACCCGCACAGACTCCAGTCAAGCCTCAATGGTCACAGAGGGCACTCGCCTTACCTCACCATCAGCTCTGCCAATTGGGGAGCCCAGAACAAAGTCAGAAGGGGCGATCACGTCCACTAGGGCCACCGCATCATCTTTCAGCTGTTGGGAAACAAAGTCCGTCCACTTGGTAACACCCCACAGTCTCCAGGGCAACTGAGGAGTAACAGAGCCACTCAGCTGGTTGCTACAGAGCACTGGAAACCTGAGCAGGCGCACAGTGCTCCGAGGCCTCACCGGCCTGGGTTGTAGACTCCCTGGGTGTGTGTTTGCATATTTCTACCATGTCGCCATTCACTCGGGACAGCCAGCGCTCGCTGTTGCAGCAAGGCTGCGAAGTTGGCAGAGGTGAGAGTGCAGCTTGTGAGTGTGTCCCCTGAGGCTCATCCCCAGCCTGTGGCCAATCTGGCAACTGCTGTTCTCAAGCAGGAAAGGAAGTCCAGAAGCCACAAGTGCCCCTGTGCCCCTGTGAAAGCTATCACACTTTCAGCTGAGGTGGTGCTTTTGTGACCCCTGCTTCCTCACACAGACTATTATTAAGCCCCATAGAGCAATCTGCTGTGGAGACGCCCAAGGATTTTCTTGAAATGAAAACAGTCTTTATTTCTTCACAAACTCCTGCCAAGCACACTGAAGTTCAAGCTAACGTTTGGGGGATGGCAGAGTGCAGGCAGACAACCTTGGGATAATGCTGGGGGCTGCAGTGTGGACACAGAGGGACCCAACACAGGTGATGTGACTCACCTGCATACACAGTGCCAAGATGGCATCCTCCATGGCTCTTCCTGCTTGCTCACCAGAAATGTAGCCACCTGCAAGCATAGAGTTGTCACACACCCCTCAGCCCTGTGACCACAGCCCATCAGAAGTGGCTTTTCCACTCAGCCTCATTAGGCCTTTTGGACAGAGGTGTCAGCACTGGCTAGCCCTACTGTGTCACACAAGGAATGTGCTGGCTCAGGCCAGCTCTGAGGGTCCTTGTCCCTGGGCGTGTGTCAGTGCTGGTTGAGAAGCTGTGAGGGAGGCCAGGCCCTGAGGCCTATGGCTGGGTGGAATCCTATCACAGGAAGGGCACGGAGTACACAGGTAGGCATCTGTCAGCATCAGACTGCACAGGTGCCCAGATGCGCTGCAGGTGGGTGAGAGCTGGCAGCCAAGGGGGTTCATGGGGGCTGTGGTGTGGGGGGCACACAGGCCTCTGAAGCCACCAGGGGACAGAGTAAGAGACCCAGCCCCTTGGTGTCACTTCAAGCCCACAGCAGCCTTCCTGTAGAATCTCTCCAGTGATTTGTACAGCTGGGAGTATACTGGTGGGAGGAACTACTCTGTGATGGCTTTCACTAGAGAGAAAGGCACCTGGTCACTAGACTTTCTCAGCTGAGGCCTAAGTTCCAGCCTCACCTCGGTAGAGCAGGGCTGTATGCTGGCTCAGGGACCACAGGCCATAGAGTGTGCTGAGCCGCCTCAGCACAGCCTGCAGAGATGGAGGCACGCTGGAGCTGTGTGTGTGCTCATGGAATCGCTGCACCACAGTGAGCTCCAAGAAGACCAGGGCCAGGGGCCGGCAGTAGTACACCTGCAAACGGAACAAAGGCCTGGTGTGTGCTGGAGGTTGTCAATCACTATGACTGTACAACTGGGTCTCCTATGAGGAGGGACCACAGGGAACTGTAGACTCAAATCCACATTCAAACATTCATCCTAGGTCAGTTCTGTGAGGCTAAGCACCATGCACACAGAAACACACACACACACACACACACACACACACACACGCATGCATGCACGCACGCACACGCACATCCTGGAGTGAAGCTAAGCCCTGTGCAGGGAAGGCTATAACATTTACACACTCCAAGACTTGGCCCCATGCCCAACTCTCAAGAGACTAGAGACCCAACAGGCTGTCACTACATTACTGTGACACCAACAAGTGGTCCAGGGCACAGGATCTGTCTTCCTGTGTGGCAGAGGAGCACAGGTTCTACTGGACAGGGGGTAATGCTGCACTGTTCTCCAGGGCTTCTGAAATGCAGTCCCCGTTTCTATACTGCATGTGAGATTGGCGAGCGGCTGCAGGCCCTGTGGGATCCCCTCTCCAGCTACAGACTGATGACCTCCCTAGGGAGGCTAGCCAATAAAGACCCCTTGGGTGGCCTTCTCTGATAACCTAACTGGATGCTGATGGCTGTCAGCACATCTTTCCCTGCTTGCCCCTAATGCACTGCCTCACCTGAACTGCTTGACTATGAACCCAAGCACAGCTGCTTCAGGGGTGGGGGTAGAGGATACCAAGCCAGGTGGCCAGAGAGTAGGAGGTACTGCGGCCTTTCCCAGCTGAGGACGGTGGCTGAGAAGTACTGGACCGAGGGTGAGAAGGGGTGAGGGGTGGGTGTGGAGGCTCTGCCTCACTGACAGCCCTTACTGTGGGTCCAGGTTCTTACGCCTCACGCTCCACTCCAGCTGTTGCTGCTCTGGTTTCCAGCAGCCGCCATTCGGCACTGTAAATACAGCACTCTTCATCTCTCCCACAGGCAGCAAGGCTGGGTATTAAACTTTACAGGGTGTAGGGCCTGCAACTGCCAGGACGTTGACTTCTCCCAACAGACACCAGAGCAAGCTGAACAGGTGCAAACTGTAAAACAAACCTACCTGGCTGTTGTTTCTTGCTTCAAAGTCACTGCCTGTAGACTTTTTCTCTTGACAGAATTTCTGATGACTCCCTTGGAGCAGGTAGCAGACAAGCCAGCGGTATGCTGCCAGGAGAGCTTTGGAGGGGACACAGGAAACAACTGAGGGCACCAGTCATCACCACACCTGTAACCCTGGGCATACAGCACTGCTGGCCATGTATGCCTGACTGGTCTTCATGAGGGTGGTAGAGGATGGGCAGTTTTGCAGAGAGAGAAATGCAGTCACTGAGAGTATCTGCCCGAGGCCCTCTACCAGATGGAGTTGACAGGGTGGTTGTGACTGACAGCATTTCCACACTGTCATTGCAGCTTTGAGACAGCAGATCACAGGGCCACTAAGACACAGTGACTGCTAAGACACAGTGACTGCTCTTTCAGGGGCACTGAGGCCAGCATGGGCATCCGGGTGCTTAGTCGCTAAGGATGGCCAGAAGCTGAGAGGATGGGCACCTGTATTTCCATCCCTAGTCTCACTGGTCAGCTAGAGGGCTATAGGTTGGCACTTGCCCTGCCAAGGCCTCAGCCTGGCATGCTGTTCTCTACAAGCCCCCACTGGCAGCAGAAAGCCAGTCACAGAGGAAAGGGCCAGGGCTGGTTGTTGGGACCTGGTCAGCGAAATGTCAGAGAGGCAGAAGGTGTGTGGGGGGGGCTCATCCTTCCTGCCATACCTGGGCTGACTTCCCACACTACTCAGAACACAGGGCACTGGTGAGTGAGGACACACAGCCTTGAATAGAAAATAGGTTCTGACCAGCTACATGGTGGAGTCCATGCTCTCCACACCCCACATCCCAGGATAAAAAGGCTTAGCACCTGATCCAAAGGACCTGCAGGTTTCAGGGACCAATGAGCAAGGGGACTTCTGCTAGGTACCTGGTCATGGCTCAGAGCCCCTGGGGAGGAAACAGGGGTCTGGCCACATCAGATTGGGCCTATTTCCTCCGGTATCACAGAGCCTGTTCCCAGGATACTCTGATGCCATAGAGTATCTGGCTGTGATAGCCAGGGAAGGGTGGTAGCACTTACACTGGGGTGGCAATTGACAGGGGCAGGTGGTCAATCCTGATGGTCATCCTTGAACCTTAAATGTCATCCTTAGCATGTCAAAAATCTGCATCAACTTCTGGGGGCCATAGTCAAGGCTGGGGAGATGTCTATCCATCCTTAGTTCACATGGCTCACTGTTCCCCAGATCCCCCCAAAGGATCAAGTCATGGGCAGCAGGAAGGTGGGTGCCACAGAAACCTTTCCAAGATTTAGCCAGAAAAGCACTTGCCCCTGTCAATTGCCACCCCAGTGTAAGTGCTACCACCCTTCCCTGGCCAGGCTCATTCCTGGGGCAATGACAGGAAAAGCAGGGCAATGGAGGGGAGGATGCCAGTACCTGCTGAGTCCAACCAGTCTGCTTTGCTGGAGCCCATGAACTTCTGGCCCAAGATTCCAGGGTATGCTTCCAGAAAGTCCACTGTCTTGAGAGGGCTTGTGAAGGCAGCTCCGTCTAGGGCACACACCTCTGTGACTTGGGAGAAAGACAAGGAGCCCCTACCCACAGAGCCTAACCTGCTAGTTCATCCATTTCCGGCTAAGCACCCCAGTCTGCCTGCACCTAGGAAGATCCTCTGCCACCAGGTGATGGCCTTTATTCACCCTGCAGATGGCCCATCTTTGTTTAACTTTTTATTTTTGAGATAAGTTTCCTTCCTTCATTCCTTCTTTCCCTCCCTCCCTCCCTTCCTTACTTTTTTTTTTGTTGTTGTTGTTTTTTGTTTTTTGTTTTTGGAGACAAGGTTTCTCTGTGAAGCCTTGGCTATCTGGAACTTGTTCTATAGTTCTATAGACCAGGATGGCTTCGAACTCAGAGATCCATCTGCCTCTGCCTCCTGAGTGCTGGGATTAAAAGCATGTGCCACCACTGCCTAGTGAGACAATGTTTTGCCCTAACTTGAGAAGCTCCCTCCTTGATGGACTGGCCGCCATGCCTGGTTTGAGGACATATATTGATACAAGCTTGGAATCTGCAGAGCCTGAGAGTCCTGAGTCCTGTGCCCTGCAGAGCTCAGCCTCCCACAGAGGTGCCTACCTTGGAGCCGGTGTTCCAGGAGGCTGAGCAGGTAGTTGCTGGTCTGCTGTAGTAGGACGTTGTTGTCACCCTCATAGGTGCAGTTTGGATCATTGTCATTTCTGAGGTCACCAAGCCGATTTACTGCAAAAAACGCCACAGTGTCATCCAAGGTGCTCTGAGAGGTGCCCCTCCCACAGGCCTACCCATCCAGAGGCAGGAAGTGCTGGCCTCCCTGCCCCTTGACCCACATCTGCTGGCTGTGTCCCCGCTGTTCCCCATCCTTAGGGAAGAAAAGTAACCTCCAGGTATGGGATGGCACAAGAACAGCCAGCACAGGGTTGGTGGCAGTGAGGACCTAGAACTGTCACCTTCCTGCCTAGCAGGGCTTCCCCAGAGTGTTGGGACCACTCCAGAGACAGGATTTGGGGATACTCTTCTATAGCTAATTGAAACCTTAAAAAGCCTATTTCCAGCCAGAGACTGTTCACACCATCTCCTGCTATGTGAGCAGCTAGGGCCTGCGTGCACTTCACGAGATGCCCTAGCTGCCTGAGGCAAGTCATCCAGAACCAGCCTCACAGCCCTTCCTCTCTGGTGGAAAACATTCCCTCTGAGGCAGATGGAGAAGCCAGCCCAGCCCCTCCATGCTATGCTATAGCTAACCCACTAGGTAAAGGCGTGGGGTTAGACCTCCTGGGGACTCAGACAGCTGACATGTAACCTTAAGTTGGCTTTTTACATTCCTGTTGACTTTGGTCCCTGCATCCTGACTGGTAAGTCATGAGCTGTGAGTCAGTCATGGCTGCGTCTGTAGTACTTAGAGATGTAATTTCCTTATTCTATTTAAAACCAGACCAAAGATAAACTTTATGTGTTTTTGTGAGTTACAACAACAAATAAAAGCCCTACCAAGAACACTGTGGAAGGGACAAAAATAGGCAAGCACATAATTCAGCCATGGTCACTGCGAGGCAGTGCTAGTAAGAGAGTCGCGTGTGGAGGGATGGAGGCCACGCCAGAACATGCTGAGTGGCAGGGGCAGGCTACAGGGAGCACCAAATCCAGACCATCTCAGGAGCATCCACGGCTGCACGGCAGCCCGAGTCATCTCTCGGCCACTGACGGGCTGCCGGTTCTGCACTGTGCACAGCAGAGGCCAGCCTTGAGCGGCCAGCTATTGTTAGTCACCTCTGATGGGGATAGCAGAAGTCCCGCAGGTGACAGGCAGCGCGTGGAGGTCTGGGTAAGCACCCTAAATTAATGGTAGAGAAGTATGTCCTGGTCACTGTATACTAGTACTGTATACTAGCTATAGTGCTATAGGCCCGGTCCTCTGTTATATGCACTGACTCCTTGGAAGAACCGACATGCTGAATGTATAATTCTACCATCTTCTAAGAAAGCCGAGGCATAGTGAAGGTAACCTGTGCAGTTACCATGGAGACCACAGCAGGCTCTGACTGGGCAGACTGGCTGTTCACCTGCAGTCATGTACCAGCTGCTTGTGTGATGTGATGCTCGGCACCAGTAAGGCACATCTTGTCCAGGTTTCAGAACTACATTAAAACCAAAGCTGGTTTCCTACCGAGTCATCAGCCAGATGTCTCACTGAAGTAACCTGTTAACTCCGCTCACACATATTTCACATTTCCTCATTATCCCAACTTTTGACCAGGAAGCATGAAGTATCAGAAAGTGGCAACTGGGTAGGACAGGGGTTGGTGAACTTGCCCTGTGCCAGATCAGAGGGTAAATAATTCAGGTCTCTGTCATGAGGACATAGCACTGCTGCTTCAATGTGGAAACAGCCAGAGAAAGTGTGCCTGAGTGAGTATGACCGTATCCCAATACAATCTTATCAGAAAAACAGGCTGCAGTTTGTGGAACCCTGACCTCGTAACCAATGGGAGAACCGAGGATGGAAAACTGCCCCAAACTAACCCAAACTTACTGCCCAGATAGCCGTGTCCCCCGCATGCTTCACGGCACTCCTGGATCCCCCGCTGAGCTGTCCATGAGGCTAGGGGCTTGCCAGCCGATGCCAGTGCATGGATCTCACGTCCAAGCTCTGCCTGTGGGAGACAGCCCAAGGGGAGGTCAAGACAGACCCTGGCCATTCATGTCAGGCCCCAGCTTCAGCACTGGCGAAAAGGAAAACCCACTGCACAGGCTCACAGCATGAAAACAAGTGCATCGCAGTTCTGCATGGAAAACACATCTCAAGGGCAGCATATCCATTGCAGACTGCTGGCAAGTGCCTGTTAGACTTGGCTCCTGCAAGTTCTTGGATGTGTAGTGAACATGGCCATCTGCAGAGAAGACCACAAGATCAGCACAACACTGGAGCCAGTGCGGCCTTCTGAGGAGAGGGAGGTCTAGGGCCATAGTCCTGCAGAAGTTTGGTGATGGCTTAGCGGCACGGGCACCCCCGGGCTTCCTTCCTGAAGCTCGAACCTGCTTCACACACATCCTCATCTCCACTTCATTGAACGCAATGTCTGCTACACAAAATGATTCCTTTAGCCAACTGTGTCTGTCTCAGGTAAGGAGAGTTTCAGTTACCATTGTGCCTGGCTGGGTTCAACCACACAGTTTCAGAAAGACAAACAGGAGAACGGTGTCAGCAGGCAAGTTACAGACTCACTAGGGAAAGCATGTTTGGCTCCTTCGAGTCAGCAGCACCCCTCAGGAGCCTGCTCCTATCCAGGGAGCCATGCCAGCATGTGCAATGCTCCAACCTCTCACTCCAGATGGGCGCTGGGCATCCCAATGCAGCTCATCTGACAGGCTGTTTAGGACAGAGAACATGGCCACAGTCTGTAGCACTTCTAGTCTGCTCCTAGACCCATGTCTTCTGATTGACGTCTGATTTCCACTGAGGGGGCAGCACAAGGAGGGGCCAAGCACTAGCCCCATAGGTTACCAACAGAGAAGTCAGCAACAGACTTCACTGTGCAGAACAGCCGACCCAGTGGGGCTGCATGCTCACTTCTGGCACAAATCCTGGACTGTCAATTCAGAGGGAGTGGATTCAGACCTCTGTGCAGTTGTTTAAGAAAAGACAAGAGCTGAGATAGCCTCTGAGCACGGCAACACGGAGTGTGAAAATCATCGTGCACTAAAGAAACTGTGAGCTCTGCTCTGCCAGCGCATCCCTAAGAAATGGGGTAACGAATGGAGTCCAAACTGCAAGTCACTGGGCAGCTGAAGGAATTCACACAGGCTCTGTTCCCATAGCCAGCTGCTTTTGTTTGGCCACAATGCTGAAACGGGGCTGCTCGACCTCGGCAACGGTAAGCAGATGCCTCACCTGCCTGGCACTGTGGTCTCCCTTGATCAGGCCACTCTGTAGCTCTATCACATCCAAGAAGAGTGTCTTAGAGAAGTGGTCCAAGGCATAGGCAGCTGCCAGGTATGGAAGTAGGCGCCATTGCTGAGGGAAACAAGATACATGACAGATACTCAGAGGGGCTGGCCCAGTTAACCAGTCTACCACTGACCCTGGGAACCTGGAGTCAGCTTCCTTGGGAATGGAGGAAACCCATTGCTGGTGGCAAGTCAGTCTAAGACAGGCACCTATTTTTTATTTTACGAGTATGCATGTTTTCCCTGCATGTACTACATATATGCACTTCATGTATACCTGGTACCCAAGGTCAGAAGAAGGTATCAGATTCCTCAGGAGCTGGAGTTACAGATGGTTGTGAGTCACCATATGGATGCTGAGAACCAAACCCAGGTACTTTGGAAGAGCAGCCAGTGCTTTAAACCGCCAAGCTTTCTCTTCAGCCCTAGCGCCACACTTCTTGAATCCATGAAAGGTGACCAATCACCCTGGGGCGGGGGACACTCACATGCTGGCACTTGACACCCACTGCTGGATGGACAGATGGATGAGGAGATGAATGGATTGGAGGGTTCAGGTGGGGCCTGAAAGGGACCCAGTGAGCCGCCACCGTGGCTGTTCCATATGTGCAAAGTGTCAGATCTTATGTCAGTTGTTTCCATTGCCAACTCTGTAAGCCTTTTGCAGCCCCAGGAAGTGGCAGCACCAATGAGGACCGGGGTTAGAGCTCCTTAGCCACTGGGCTTCCCTTGGCACCCGGAAGAGTCACTATGTCATTGCCATAGAAACAGGGATGATAGCACAGTAGGGCACGTGGGCCACCCAGGCATGGTGGGACAGTTTGTTTTTTAATATCCACTTCCTAAACAGCTCGTTGCCGACATAAGAGGAAAGTGAAGAGAAAGGTCTCATTTCCATAGACTGTCACTCAAACACCTAAGCCAGACTTGGTAACCAGGTCACCTACCTGGTCCTTATCCCCATAAAGTGGGGTCATGACTGCCCCTCTGGCTACAAAGGGCACCCGATCAGAACATGCAGTGGGGATCACAGGAGGTGGCGGTGATGGGCCCTTTTCCACTTAAGGCCTCTGTGCTTTGCCCCATTGCTGCCTCTGAGGATGCAAGGCTGGGTCCCATTTCTACTGCTTTAAAGACCACAATGTTTAAAGGGCTGGGCTCACCTGCTTGACTTCCTCAAGGTCATTTCTTAGGTATGGGGCAGACAAGTCAAAGATGTAGCTTGACTCAGGACAGCATCACCTGCCAAAGCAGGGTGACCTCATCTACACAGTCATCAGGCTCCCACCTGCCACCAGAGCCCCTGGCTCTTCTTCGCCTGTTTGCCTCCTTTTGACGATACATATGCCGTTTTAATTAAAAGTCACCCTAAGGCCCTGGTGCCTGGCAGGCGCAATGTGGCCCATTGTCCTAGTCTCAGGGCATTCCCTGACAACTCTCACCAACTCCCAGGAGCCAAGAAGAGCAAGCAGTACCTGCAGGGGATATTCAAGGACAGGAATTTCTTCCTCGTCTGTGGGTCCAAACTGACACCGTGTGGCTGAGAATCGGAGCGCTATGGACACGGCCAGTTTCAGGTTGGCCACAGAGAAGCCAATAATGGAGATGCGTCCTATGGACAGGCTGCCCAAGGATGCTCCCAAACGTTGCCGGACATCCTGGGAGAGAGAAGCAGGGTCACATGCCAGCCAGGTGTTATGCAGCCTCAGAGAATACCCCAAAGATGAAGGTGTACCCCAGATGCATCGTGAGCAGAGGAGAGGGCTCCCAACTGCCCAAGGAGGGAGCTCTGGGTACAGAAGCACCGTGACTGAGCTTATGAAGCTCCTTTCCTTTGGTGACCTGTGAACTGTCCACCTGAGGGCGCTGTGCCCTGCCTTTTCCTGGGTGGGCACCAGAATGCAGGGTGGTCCAGCACGGGGCTCCACATCCACCAGGCACTCTGCTGGCACATGGCTCCCGGATCCCAGCTGCCAAGCTCCTGTGTGCTCAGCGTTCCGGTCTCACCGTCAATGCCACTGCTCTTTACTCTGTTTGGCACTGGCATGCTCAGGCCCCTCGGTGGTGATGTGGACAGCCTGGTGTCCTTGCTCCTTGTCCCCAGCAGCTGCTCTGGGTTTGGGTCCTTCTTCCAAATTAGTGTAGTGTGTATATGATAGGCTTGCAGACAGGGAACATTTGTCACACTCTCATGTAGAGAACACAGTTTTGTTGGCGTTAAAAATATTTAAATTTGATGGGCGATGGTGGCATGCGCTTTTAATCCTAGCATTTGGGAGGCAGAGGCAGGCGGGTAACGGTGGTGGTTATTCACCTGTCTCCAGCAGCATGATTTCTGAACCTCCTCTGTAATGATCCTGTTTTTCCCTGTGTGTCAGTAGATAGCTTTTCCTCTTTATAACAACTCAGATCCTTTCAGCAGTCTTTCCTGCTCTAGCTGGGGACACTGGTCTGTCACTTCTCTGGACCCTGCTGTGGTAGGCAGGGCGCTCACCTCACCAGGAATTTCCACAGCATTCTTTCTTCCACGTGACGGTAAATTTTACTTGGTTGCTTTCATATTATTCTGTGTCTTATGCGGCTTCTTGGCTCCCAGGGCTAATGTCTCTCAAGTAACTTTGCTGCATTCATTCTCGCTTTCCCACCAGGCAAAGGGTGAAGGCTGTCTGAGGAGTGTCCTTCCTGGGAGTGTCCTCCTGGCACATCTCCTCCTGGAGCTCTGTTCTCAGGGTCAGCCACCTGCCCGTGTACTCACCACTCTCTAGAGCTGTGGGCTGCCCCATGGTTCATCTCCACCCATAGCCTGACCACTCTCAGTTATCACCACATCTGGCTACCCCATCTGGACACAGCTTTCCACGTGACACTCCTGTGGTGCTATTGGTGGAAATGGCCCCCATAGGCTCATATGTTTGAATACTGCCCGTGGAACTGTTTGGGGAGGATGGCCTTGTTAGAAGTGGGCAGGCCTTGGGGTTTCAAAACGCTCACACCATTCCCGGTGTGCCACTCTCTGTCTCGTGAATCAAGACGCAAGCTCCCGGCTGTTCCTGCCGCCATGCCTTTACTCCGCCACCACGCTAACCTTTTGAAACCACGTGTTCCAAATTAAACACTCTTTTAAGAGCTGCCTTGGTCATAGTGTCTTACCACAGCAATAGTAATCAAGGCAGCGAGATGCTCTGGGAGAGTAGCCTCCTACCCAAGGAGACATAGATACCTATCCAGAAAATGCCGCCAGATCCAGGCCACCCTGCCCACCAACACTGCAGTTACGTTCCTTCTCTGCTGACGGTACCAAACCCAACCAAGACTGGTGTGTGGAATTCCCAGGGCCAGCTGCTCCTTGGGTAATCTCCAACACACAGGGACAGACACTTGGGAAGTCCTATCCACAGATACCCACAGTCCACTGGTACCTTAAAGGGGGTGCTGTAAGTGCCCTCGGAGGTGATATTCCCAGTTCGGTCCAGGAGGTTCTGGCGAGGAATTCGAACTTTGTGGAACATGGCGAATCTGTGCAGGAGAAGAGGCGGGCATTCGTCATACAGTCCCACAAGAGCCTGGCACATGGCTCCTGGGCTTTCCTCCTCTCCCCACGATGAAGGCAACATCAGCCTCAAAGACAAGGGGCGTGTGTGATGGGGCCATGTGTGGACCACCATGGTCCAGCTCCTCACTCCCCAGGATGGAGGTGCTCCCATGTTACTGGCTAGAGAAGCCCCACACCCGAAGAGCCTGCAGTCCGGTCTACTGCTTGGGAACTGATCTGCTTCCCCTGAGCAGCTAGGAAAAGAGTCCGACAGGTGTTGCTAGGGATACTGAGCACTGAAAATCCAAGACATTCTGCAAGGTTTAAGGAAGAAGCTTGTACAAAGTTACAAATCTATGTCAACTGCAAAATAAAACGCACTTGAAAATCTTAGTGGCTCCTATAGCAGTGAGTCTGGTGGCTAAGATGCTATACAAACGCAGGACCTCATCAGTCCCCAGCTACCATCTGTGATGATGGTAGGACAGCCTGCTGTTCCTCACCCGCATCTGACCTCCTTCAGTCCCTGGGGATGCAGCCTCACTCCAGCTGAGCTGCCCTCATTAAACAGCAGGCGCAAGCAAGGTATTTCAAAAAGGACACGCCCTAATCAAAACCATGCTGTGACACTTCTACCTGGCCAGGCTCTCTGCTGTCCTGTCTCTTCCCTGGGTCTCCCTCCGAGTGAAGCAAGCTGTCATCTCCGCCAGGAAGTCCACATGTTTTCCACCCTAGCTGCAAGGATCAGAAGGCACACCCATCTCCAGGACACCAGTGGGTAGTCCTATTGAGTGCCATCACGTGGTTGTCCTTGTTCCCCAGCGAGCCATTTTCCTGTTTTTCTTGCAAGTCTACAGTACCTGGTCCCCACCAGGTACTTGATGAGAAGGAACAGAGGTGTTGGAATAGGAGGGAATCCTCCAAGATGAAGGAGTCCTCTCCCCCAAACCATGACCCAGGAAGACACAGCAGCCCTTCCCAGTGCCCACATGACAGAGCTAAGAGGAGGCCCGGGGAGGCAGACGTTAACATAGTACACCCAGCAGCTAACAGAGTGCAGTGTCTGGCAGCCACCTGGCCTGTACCCAGCCTGCAGGCCACACACAATGCCCCGTTTTTAAAGAAAACCCAGCCTCAGTGCCAAGTCGAGGTGCTCCAACTGTTTACTTGAAAGCCAAGGAATGCTTTTCAAGTACAATGTTGTTAATGAAAGCACTTTTTAAGGAGTGGAAAATCTTCACCCTTTTTGCCACAGAGGTAGAATGAGTCTGAACACATTTGTACTTGTGAAGTTTCCTCTAGTTTAAGGAGCAAATGCTCTTTGGGTCAGTTTTATATCCCCAGAAATGGTCAGATGGGTCATGGCACACGAGCGTCAAGTGTGTGTGTGTGTGTGTGTGTGTGTGTACACAAATGGGGGCTAAGGAGGCTTAGGGGTGTGTGTGTGTGTGTGTGTGTGTGTGTGAATAACAGGACGGTGACATGGGGTATCTTTGTGACATAAGGCATGTGGCATGGGGAAAGACGGAACAGGGGCTAGTGATGTGTGGATGACACAGGGCAGTGACACGGGCTATGTATATAACATGGGGCACATGGTGGGAGCATGGCAGGCATGTTGGAAGGATGTAGAGTGTGTGTGTTTCTTCTTCATAACTTCCACCCTGGGTGTCCTGCTGCAAATTCCAGCCACTCAGTTCTGGAGTTATAGCATCCTCTGCTGGTGGCCTATGGTCACTGCAGGCAGGAACCTTAGTTTACTAGTTTCTTCCAAGGACCCTGTGGCCAAGCAGGACAGAGAGGTCACATTAGGCCATTGGATTGGTCTTTGCTTTGCTGGAACAGCTGCACAGGCTGCCCCACAGCATGTCCATGGTGACTCTCAGCCCAGCCTTTGCCACACCTATATTCTGAGGCTTCTGTAAATGTCTGATTTGGTGTCTGTGAGATGCGTCCCAGGAGACTACCCATTTTCTAAAAACAGGAGCTGCTGTGATGGGGCTAAGTACAAGCTCTCTGTTATGCTCCAAAGTTACTCTAACTGCTCTAGTCTGTAGACCAGGAAGAGCAGCAGACAGAGGCACCGGGATCACTAGCTACATGTTACAATGCATTACCAACACAAGCCAAGGTTAGCCAGGCTGCACACAGAGCTCTCAACAGAGGTGGAAACAGCTTTGTGACTTCTGAGCCCTGATCTTTCTCCTTAAGCTTACACCGCTAGGCACTGGTGCTTCTGGGCCCCTCCACACTATCTGCATCTGACCTGCAGACTTAGGAGGCCTAAGCCCTTCCCTGGCCCTGCCCCCAGCCTTCTGGTGATGGGTAGACAATGGGGCATGAGAGCCTTGGGAAGTGCCTGACCCAGGCAGGATTCTCCCTGGAGGTGGCTAGCCTCAGTAGGGAGCCACAGCAGCTGCTTGAGGTGACTCTGAGAGTCCAAATACACATAGAACTGAGACAGGCAAAAACGCATAATACAGCACAGGACACAATACTTGGGGATATCCTGTTTTGGCCTCTTCCAGAGTCATGAGTTATCTTGGGGGCAGAGAGAGGTCTAAGTGCATTGGGCCAGGCATCCTGGAGCTGGGTGGAGCCTGTACACACTGACCAGGGGAGGGCAGGAAGGCAACCTAGACTGCTCAGCAATACATTGAGGGCTAGGCATAGAAGCTGAACAGGAACGGTAGAGATGACAGTGAGCCCTACCCTGTTGGATGCCACTCAGCTGCTGCCAACCTGGGTCTCAAAGACAGATGCTCAGAGTCACAGAGAATCCTCAGGAGCTGGCTTCACCACTGTCCCTCCACCTGGGACACTATAAACCTCAAGCCATCCAGCTGTCCTACTGACCATGGGGACTCCCTGGTTAAGGAGTTAGCAAAGGTCCTTCCGGGCTCAGGCCAGCCCATGGTATTCACTCCCATCCAAGTGCTCCATGCACACTGCTACAGATCAACCCCATTTCTGAGCAGCCCTAGGCTAGGAGTCAAAAGCACCTCGCTGACCATCATATGCCCAGCACTTGGCCAATTACTGCCTCAGAGACTTGAAGCAAATATTCACAGCAGACTCCACAGTGGACAGAGAAGGCCAACCACCAAGAGACCTCACAGAGGAAGGAAGGGCCTATGTAGTTGGGCATCTCCCAGCCTGAGGTTTCCCTAGTGAGTAGCCCTAGACTGATCTGAGAGCTTGGAGAGTCAGAGTCTGAGAAGCTGACCCACAGGGTGCTAGGACAAAGCGGACCTCTGGGAATTGAGACTATGCAGGCCACGGCTGCTACTAAAAGAAATGTAGGTTGGTGTCTACCATAGCCAAGCCAGGCCCTGAGAAGCCTCCACTCCTGAATGCGGCCAGCTGCAGCCTGTGGCTTAGAACAACCCTGGAGCCCCAGGGAGGCAGCATTTGTCTGATGAGGCCAGTGGCACTCACCCATTATCCAGGGCATTCTGCCCCAGCTTCTTCCCCATGTCACCGACCATCACCCCTGGCATGGGAAGCAGGGTCTTCGGGTCCCGAATCTGTACAAAGCCATGAGAAATAAAGGCCAGTTAGTCTTTCAGAAGACAAGGTAGCATGTCCAGACAAGCTAACCACTGACAGGGTGACTCTGAAGAGCTCTAGGTCATACTGGATACCCTGGAGTGACACATCTAGGTCTGGGGATGGAGTCTTCTGTGGAAAATGGACCTCTGCAGCTACAATAAGGGAGAGTCCTAGATGGGACCTAAATCCATGGTAAGTGTGCTTACAAAGGGAACAGATTCGCAGAAAGGCAGTGTGGCGATGAGTCAGAAGTTGGCATGACATGGTGACCAGTGAAGGAAGCCAGAAACTGGAGAAGGTAGGAGAGAGCTTCCTGAGCCATCAAGGAGTACACTGATTCCTGACTCCATCTCCAGAGCCCAGTGACTCTCCTGGCTTAGTCCTGGCTATGACGTGTCACTACACTAGCTACAGGCTGGGTTAGGGGCCCCACACTGTTTAGTGGATGTGGAGAGATCCTGTTCATGCCTCAGACGGAAGACCTGCAGTGGGATTCAGGCATGATGGTAAAGTGGCTATGCACATGTGTGCTGTGGAAAGGAAACCAGGACAAGCTATGTCGATGTCATCTCCCTAGTGGGTGTCCACTAAACATTCCCTACAGGAATGTAGGCATGGTTGGCTATAGACTCCTGACCTAGGGGCTCCGTGAAAAAGACAGGTTTCATTACACGGGAAGCAGACTTGCCAACTGTAAAGCAGAGGCCCCGCTGCCTCCCTTCCCTTCCCTTCCCTTCCCTTCCCTTCCCTTCCCTTCCCTTCCCTTCCCTTCCCTTCCCTTCCCTTCCCTTGCCTTCAAAGGCATGGGGACAATGTTTAGAGATGATGTTGTTCTAGATGGCAGACACTGGCGGCACACAGTAGCGAGGACCAGCCACAGTTGTTGCTTACCCACCCAGAAAGCACAGCACTGGGATGTGACACCCTGCTCTAAAGACATTTGGAGGCTGAGAATGGGTACAGTATGGGCTTAGCATGTGGGAGACCTTGGGTGCAAACTCCAGAACCAAGGGAAGAAAATAGGAAGAAAGGGAGGGAGGGCTGGTTGAATATAGAATTTAGAACTTAGCTGTTTGTAAGAGTCACTAGCTTTTTTTGTTGGTTTGCTTGCTTGCTTTTTGTTTTTGAAGACAGGGTTTCTCTGTAGCTTTGGAACCTGTCCTGGAACTCACTCTGTGGCTCAGGCCTCTGCCTACCGAGTTCTGAGATTAAAGACATGTGCCACCAATGCCTGACTGAGTCACTAGCTTTTTATTTTGTGTATCTGATTCTATTTAAATTTTAATACGCAAGTATCAAGGTTTGGATTGTGGTCCTCAGAGGTAAATGGTTTGGCCTTCAGCCCATGGCGCTGTGGGGAGGTGGGACATGGCAAAAACAAATGAGGCCATTGGGAGTGTGTCCTTTAAGAGGCTACTGAGACCCTGCCACTCCCTGTTTCTTCTCATTTTGTCCCCAGACACAGCTTATTCAGCTACATACTCCTGCCAGGATAGCTGGGCTCCCACAGACACACAGTAGCGCCAGTGTGCCATGGGCTGGCATTTCAAACACTGAGCCAGGATAATCCTTTCCTCCTTTGAAGTTATTGTGGTAGGGAATTTTGTTACAGCAGCAGAAAGCTAACACAGAAGGAGCAACTAACAGGACAAAATAGCTGGTGTTTTATCAAAAGCACCACTAGTGGGAGCTGGAGAGATGGCTCAGTAGTTCTTGCAGAGAACACAGGTTTGGTTCCCAGCTCACAACCAACTGTAATTCCAGTTCTAGGGCATCTGATGCCCTCTGCCACAGGGGCTACATGGACATGCTGCACAGTACCTACGCATACACATAAAGTAAAAAAAAAAAGCAAGCCTTTAAAAAATGCATTGACTACTGCCAGTTTCCAGTTCCATCTGGAAAGAGTTCCAAAGTGAAAGGCAAAAATAGCTAAGGCCATGCTTAACTCATAAATATTAATTGTGCAAATTCATCTTCCATTTCCCATGATATGTAGAAGACTGTCAACCCTGCAGGGCAAGCATGGGCTGTGCCCTCTATACAGGTGCCCTGCTGGAGGGGGAGGAGAGATGTCACTGAGGTGCCCTGAGTACAGGCATCCTGCTGGAGGGGAGGGTGAGGTACCACTGAGCTTCTCTTACGGCAGCTGTTGATTTTGATTTTTGAGACAGGATCTACTACAATAGGCCAAGATTTGCCTCAAAATCATAATGCTGCCTCAGCCTCCTGAGTGCAGGGATTACAGATGTGTGCCATGGCGACAGGCCTGCTGGATGCTTTTAGCACCACTCACAGAGACTCCAGCAGCACTGCAGCCTGTGGTCTGAAAGCGAGGCGTGCTGCAGGAAGCCGGGTGTCAGCACGGTGTCTTCTACAGCAGTGCACATCTGTGCTTGACAACCCCGTGCCTGTGGCTGCAAGTGACTGTCTACCTGGGGGACAGTCCCACCCAGGTCTTACCTGCACCAGGAAGGAATGCAGCCCATGGCACTTGCCATCTGGCATGTACAGCTGAGCAAACACCACCGCGTGCGTTGCTGTCTTGCCCATGTTGCCCACCCAAAATTTGGCAGCCTCGAAATCCGGGGAGTGAATGATGAACTCCTGTGAAGGGAGAGGGCAGCCTTGTAACGGGCAACCGAGAGCAGAGAACGCCTTGTCCTCTGCAGCAGGCTGACTCCTCTGCTCAAGCTTCTGAGCCAACGGTGAGAAGGGACTGAACACTTTTTCGCCTGTGTGGGCCAAGCTGACTTTATTCTTGTTCCAGGGTCACTTGGGGGGAACAGAAAATGAGGCGCAGTCTCTCACACAGTGGACTGCTGGCTGGCACTCGCCTGCAGAGGCTGACCCCGACCACACTCTGTCAGTAGAGGCCTGTTTCCCTTCTTGCCACAACCCCCCTGGACTGCTAATGAAGGGGCCTGCTTTCCTTCTGTTGCTCTGAATGTACTGGCACCCGCAGAGAGCGTCTTTGGAAGTGAACAGGCGAGGCACGCACTGCTGCGTGAGCTGGAGCCGCACGTCGCTGGCAGGGATGTCTGAGGCAAGCTCTGCTTCTGCTGAGTCAGTAACTGCCCCACGGCCTAAAGTATGTCCTTGGGCCCTTTGCTACCAGTCAGCACCAGCTTCCCACCCATAGAAGTCCCACAGCAGTCCCAGGCCCCAGAGCAGAGTAGGAGCAGACAGGGTCAAGGAATTAGCAAGACAAAGAGGAAAATCTTGGTCAAGAAGCAGGCAAGTATGACAGCCTGCATGGCGGTCCCTCCCTCCTTGTCTCTGCCCTTGCAGGGCTGCACACGGTATGATTTGTCCTATGTTCACCATACAGCAGCTCAGGCCAGAGTTCAGTCAGCCATGTGGATGAATGGACAGTGAGCAAGGGCGGAGCTTCCTTTCCAGCACACAGACCCTCTCTCTCCCACATCCCAGGTAACGGGGAGGTTGAGGAGGGTTGAGACTCCCAACTGCACACGAGGAAGGTGCACACGAGGAAGGTGCCCGCGGAGCACAAGCCTTAGACAGTGGAGAAAGGGGGCTTCCACACCCCTCTCAGCACTGACCAACCCCGACGTGTGAGACCCATGTCCCTCCCACCCTGCATTCTAGGAGCTCCTAGAGAACCAGTTGCAGCCTGTCCCCACAGTGGCTCCCTGCAGAAGGCAGTATCCACACAGAACAGTGCCCAGCAATGCCCCAACAGTGGTCGGCAACATGGGTGTCACAAGGATGCCAGAAACGGGGCGAGGAGCAGAGGTCTAGGCAGCAATGGGCGGAGCAGGCTGCTCAGCCACCAAAAGCCCCATGAGCATACAGGCAAGGCAGGCCCAGGACTGAGGCCAGGAAGAAGCACCCTCCCTTGGAACACTTCATGTAGCACGAGGATCTGACCCTCTATGTGTCCGCAAACCCATCTGCTCAGCATGGAAGGTAAAGGCTTCATGCCTCAGCACAAGGCATGTTCTCAGAGGCATCTGACAGTGACCTCTAATGAGAGTGTAAGGGGATAACACTCTTGATTAATTGTTGTTCATTCACAACATTTCATGTGCTGCACCCTGGGTCCAAAATCCAGAACCTACCTGAGTGGCAGGATCGTAGTGAGCTGTTGTTCGCATGGCCTTGGTGTTACTCCCATGACTCAGTTCAGTCAGAGCAAAACAGCCAAAAATCTAAACATCAAAGTACAAAGTGATGCCAGGGGTATGATGCGTTCCTGTGTGTATTCCCTCAGCGGCCATTCCACCAACACGGAATGGCCAGGAGCCCGGGTACTCCTCTCCCTGCCTATGTAACTATGGCATGACTGAGTCCCCCTGCTGCACCAGATACCACTCCCACCTGCTGGCAGCAGCCTATGTTGAGTACAGGCTGCAAAGACTTTTATAGTCAGAGGAGGCCATGGGGGCATTCGGTCAGACAGGAAAGCCAAGTCCACAGCCAAACACAGTGGGCAAGGAGGAGTGCCAGTCTGAGGGCACTTAGAAAAGCAGAGCCTGGCCTCCCAGCCCTCCCCTGTGGCTAAGTATGGCAATGACACTGGTCTCACAGCTCACTGTGGACGACTCACCTCCAAGCTATAGATCTTTTCAAGGTACTTGAGACGCTGCTCAGAACCAGAATTGAAAATTGCGGATCCAAAAACCTGAAATATACCATAGATGGGGGTGTGGGTGTGGGTGTGGGTGGGTGCTGCCACTCCTGGCTCAGGGCAGGCACACCTCACACCTACCCCACATGCTCTTCACCTTGCTGTACTACATTTTGAATGAATATATTTTATCCAAGAACCCATGGATAAACCCAAATTTGCACTGAAAGCTAAAAATCTGGCCTTGTCACTTAATCTTAAATCCTGGATATTTTAGGAGCCATGTGGCTGTAGTTTGTGTCTGATGTGTGTGGCCCAGTGTGGACCTGGGTTCCCTGTTCTCTACCTCACACTCACCAGCATGTGGAGGGCGCATTTGTTAGCCAGGGACCAGTCGTACATGCCCAGGCAGTGGATCAATGCCGGGATCTTCAGGGGCTCCTTCAACAGTTCTTCCACCTGGAAGAAGCCATGCTCCAAGACCCGCTTGCAGCGGAGGAAGTTCAGCTCCCGTTGCTTCTCTAGAGGCAGATCGGTCCCATATGAGCGGGCAAAGAGAGGGTCATTCTCCAAAGTCTTGAAGATGGTTTTCTGTGAACACAGGGCACAGGATGCCAACTTGACGGCCAAAGGTGGGGTTTCACATGCTCTTATGCATTTGGTTTCTCTCAGGGCCATGGCTGCCTGGGACCCAGTCTGACCCAGAATCTCCCACATGAAAACACCCACCCCAGCTGAGAGGAGGATATAAGAATTCCAAAATCTTGTCCACTCCTTCCTTCTGGCATCCTGGGACCCATCTTGGGGTAAGAGGAGACAGACTCACACTGTCCCAAGAACTACCCATCCTACAGAGCCATTAGGGCCAGGAAAGCCACAGGGCTTCAGAACTTCAAAGTCACTTCTGCCAGGGAATAAAGACATGCGCAAACTCTGCACGGACCTCACCTTGAAGTGGAGTACATCCTCACCATCCCAGAAAAGCAGCAGCTCCTTGGAGCTGAAGGAAGCTCTTTCTCTGTAGGCACTAAGGGGGCCCCTGGGGATGTCTGGCCATAAAGCACCGTCTCTTTCTTCTGGTGTAGATTCCATGGTATTGCCAACCTGCACTGTGAACAGCCACACCATATTAGAACAAGAGTGAAACCCCACCTTTGATCTCAAGTTGGCATCCTGTGCCCTGTGTTCACAGAAAACCATCTTCAAGACTTTGGAGAATGAACCTCTCTTTGCCCGCTTGTATGGGACCAGTGCCTCCCAAGCAACAGCAGCAGAGGCAGCAAAGCATCAGTATGGAGGCACTGATGTCCCAAAGGGAGGGCAAGGCAGCACTCCCCTCAAGGATGGCACTGCTCTCCTGGACTGCACTCCTGACCAGGCAGTGAGGACACAAGGCAGATCTGTGCCTCTGCAGAAGGAGTGGGAAGGAGGGCTGAGGTAAACAGGGTGTGACAGACCAGGTAGCTGCAAAGAGTCCATCCCGAGGAAACTGGTCTTTCAGGTATCAGGAAGTTGAGGTCCCTTATGGATCACTGGGCCCAGAGGCAGGGAGCTTCCCCTCTGGAATCTGGCTGCGTACAGCACATGATGTCCCTGCTCACCCAGACACTGGCCACTGAACACAGAGGCTGTGACTAATGTTGGTCTGTACTCAACACTCAGCCATCCCACTCACAATGCAGGTAGATGCTTTTCACTAAAGGACTGTTCTGGAATTCTCTGGACAAATTGGATCCTCTTCCAGAGATCTGATTCATCACATCATAGAGGCAAAAGACCTATGCTCTGGCCAACAAGAATCTGAGAGCTAAATCCAGGCAAGGAGACCCAAACAACTTTGGTATCCATTGGGGTAACTGTTCAAATGGTCTAGGGCTGGCCTCCAGTTTGTGGTCACAGTGCAGGTAGTGTTTTCCTATGTGACAGAGAAAGCAGGGGCATGGCATGGCTGAACACCTGCCCTCACAGATCCAGTCCTACAACACCTTCCCCAACTCTGAGCCAAGAAGGTTGTCCCTACAGAAACGTGAGCTGCTAAATCCAAGGCCAGACGGAGGAAACATAGTCAAAGACTAGAGAAAGGGCCCAAGGAGAGGCAAAGGGAAGGACAACAGAAAGTTCCAGAAAGAAAAACTATGTCCTTGTAAAGACTGACAGGACTGGAAAACTTCCACCATCTGCTCCCAGGAAAGAGAAGGCTCAATTTTGATCAGGGGACATCAAGACCCATCACAAACCAGACGTAATATAGGAATACATAAGTGGGAGTTAGCTCACAGAGTCACTGTGGAAACTACGTTATTCGCATATGCTACAGTGGAAAAGGACGCAAGTTTAAAAGGGAAGGTAAAGGTTAAAACAATGAAGCCAGGGCTGGAGAAATGACCCAGTGTTCAAAAGCACTTACTGTGCTTGCAGAGGACATGGATTTCGTCTCCAGTGCCTACATCCTGGCTTACAAATGTCTCCAGTTCCAGGACATCTAACACTTCTCTGACCTCCTTGGGCTCCCGTACACATGTGGTTCATAGACATACTTGCAAGCACACACACACACACAGAATTATGATTAAAACAAACAAACAATGAAGTGTTATGTACCTGTACACAAGTGGTTCATAGACATACATGCAGGCACATACACATACACAAAATTATATATTAAAACAAACAAACAGTGAAGCTTGCAGTACTACGGATAGAGGCACAATGTCTGCTACTGGGTATGAGACAGTCACAGGTCTGGTAAGAGGCATGAAGGCTCCAAGAAACAAGGCCAATGACAGGGACCAGTGGCTAGTTTCCACAAGACTTTTCCCTGGTAGGGGAACACATGCTGGGCATTTCTGCTTGCTACATATTCTTGTTTCTAACACACTGCTTCTAAAGCAGACAATTATAACTGACTACACTGCAAGTAAGAATGGCTTCTAACAATCCTGCTCCAGTTTAGGAAAGAAACTCAAAACCATCCTGTAGACCAGCATTTCTCAACTCATGGGTCATGACCCCTTTGGGGGTCAAATGACTCTTTCACAGGGAACACATAAGACTATCAGAAAACACAGGTATTTGCATTATGATTCATAACAGTAGTAAGATTATAGTTATGAAGTAGAAATGAAAAAAAATTTTATGGTTGGGAGGTCACCACAACATAAGGAAGTGTATTAAAGGGTTACAGTATTAGGAAGGTTTGAGGACCACTGCTGTAGTCAGATAGCTAAGATTTTGGCAGCTGTGAGGAGAGTGATTAATTAAATGAATATCATTTGGAACACCTCCAAGATCCAAATGAACTACTTCAATAATCAGCCTTCTAGAAACACCAGTCAGTAGCAGTGGCTAGCAGCTAAGGTCAGCAGCAAAGACATCATCAGAGATAAGCAATAGGGGGCTGTGGCCACCTGTATGCACAACATACAAACAGCCACAGGCAATTCTAGTTTGACAAATCCGGTCCACATAAATCTTCTTGCAGTAATATTTTGTTTATGATCTAACAAATAAAACCTGCCTGAAAAGCAGAGAAGCAGAGCAGCCAGCCACTAGAGTTCTCACCTCTACCAATGCTCAGACCAAGGGGTGATCCTGTCCTCAGACTGCGTCTCTCTCGTCTTCTCCTGCCTTATATTCCTCTCTCTGTCCAATCATATCACTCCTGTCTCCATTTCTTTAGTTCTGGAACTAAAGACGTGTCAATAAGCCCCAGCAACACCACTTTTGAGTATATGCCTGGAGGATTGCACACTCACACCACATGGATATTTGCATAATTAAATTCATGGCTGCATTATTCATAATAGCCAGAACCTGTGAACAACCTAGATGCCCCTCAACCAAAGAATGGATAAAGAAAATGTGGTACATTTACACAATGGGGTACTACTCAGAGGTTAAAAAACAAAACAAAACAAAAAACAAAGCCGGGCTTTGGTGGCACACGCCTTTAATCCCAGCACTCAGGAGTCAGAGGCAGGTGGATCTCTCTGAGTAGAGGCCAGCCTGGTCTACAGAGCTAGTTCCAGGACAGCTTCCAAGACAATACAGAGAAACACTGTCTCCAAAAACCAAAAACCAAAACAAAACAATGACATCTTGAAATTTGCAGGCAAATGGACAAAACTAGAAAAAATAATTCTAAGTGAAGTAACCCAAACTCAGAAAGACAAATATAACATGTACTCACTTATAAGTGGATATTAGATATAAAGGAAAGGATAACCAGCCCAGAGAACCTAGGCAACAAAGGGGACCCTAAGAGAGACATACATGGATCTGCCTATGGAGGGGAAAAAGACACGGTGTCCTGAGTCCATTGGGAGCATGAGGGGTATAGGGGAGAGTGGGAAGGGAGAGGAGAGGAGGGAAGGGAAATGGAGAAAAATGTATAGCTCAATAAAAACAAGGTAAAAAATTAAGTACCAATTTAACAAATGTATATTCAGAAGTTCAAATAAAACATAAATGACTGTGACAAAATAATAATAATAAAAAGGCACGTCACTCCAAGTGCTGGGATCACCCTGTGTGGGCTTCATTTCTCTTTTAGAACTGGATCAACGTCCTGTAGCCCAGGGTGGCCTTGAACTAACAGAGATCCATCTGCCTAGGTCTCCCAAGTGCTGGAATTAAAGGTGCGTGTCACCACTGCCTGGCCTCTATGGCTAACTAGTGTGGCTAGCTTTGCACTCTGATCTTCAGGCAAGCTTTATTTGTTAAATCGTAAACAAAATATCACTACATAGTCTTCTCTGTTTTCACCTTCTGTGGTGGTCAAACCTTACTGTCAACTTGACTGGATCTGGAATCTCATAGAAAACTTATCTCGGGGTGTACCTGAGGTTGTTTCCAGAGAGCTTTAACTGAGGGAAGACCCAAGCTAAACATGGAAACATCATCCCATGGACTAGAGTTCCAGACCCCCCAAAAAAAAGCTAGCAAGATGGCTCAGTCATAAAGGCATTTGCTGTCAAGCCTGGAGATCTGAGTTCAATTCTGGAGGCCCACATGGTAGAGTGCAAGAACCAACTCTCCTAGTTTGTTCTACGATGGCACCCCCTCACCCCTGCCTGCATGCATGCTATGGTATGCACGTGAGCCTCTGCCCCAGAGGAATGAATAAATGAATAAAACAGAATTTTTAAAAAATTTAAGGGGTGAAGGTGCAAGGTGGTTCAGTAGGTCAAAGTGCTGGTCATCAAGGCTGATGGATAGAGCTTGATCTACACACATGAAATATATGTGTGTGCTGTTGTTGGCTTTTACTCTTCATTTTTGTTCTTTTGCCTCTTTACTCTTTGGGGGCATGCCACCCAGATCACAAATAAATAACACACAGAGGGTTAATTCTTACTTAGAAATGCCCAGCCTTAGCTTGGCTTGTTTCTAGCCAGTTTTTCTTATCTTAAATTATCCCATCTATCTTTTCCTCTGGACTTTTTCTTTCTTTCTGTAATCCTTTCTTTACTTCTTTCTCCACGGCTCGCTGTGCAGCTGGGTGGCTGGCCCCTGATGTCCTCCTCTCCTTGTTCTGTCTTACTTCTCTTCTCTTTCCAGATTTCTCCTCCTATTTATTCTCTATGCCTGCCAGCCCCACCTGTCCTTTCTCCTGCCTCGATATTGGCCGTCCAGCTCTTTTTTAGACCATCAGGTGTTTTAGACAGACAAAGAATCACAGCTTCACAGAGTTAAACAAATGTTCCACAGCATAAACAAACGTAACACACCTTAAAATAATATTCCAAAACATATATGATATATATTATATATACAGACACACATACATATCTCCCACACCTGTCATGGGCTATACACCTGTAATCCCAGCACTTGTGAGGCAGAGGCAGGAGGATTTGGTGTTAAAAGTCAGCCTTGGTTATCTAGTGAATTCAAGGCCAGTCTGAGCTACATGAGACCCTGACAAACACAAAAAGAACAACAAAGAAACCTTTGCAGTTATTGCCAGTTGCTTGTCTAGAATGCCAGAATAATTGAGTGAGAAGAAGCAGTCTTTTCAACAACTGTGGACAGCTCCGTATGAAAGGACAAGGCTCTCACATACACAAAAATTACTTTCCCATGGCACAGATGTACACACACAAACTAGACCTATCAAATTCTTAGAAGATGATGGAGAAGCTAATCTCTGTTATCTTGTAGTTGCGAAATATTCTCGGATAAGGCATATGATGGCTAATCCTGAGGGCCAGCTTGCCTGCACCTACAATCAACTAAAACACAAGCTTCTGGTCATTCCTGTGAAGATGCTCTTGTTCAGATTCTCTGAAATAGCAAAGCCCCTTCTGGTGAACCCTCCCAGTTGGAGGGACATGGAAGCAACTTTTCTTTTTGCCTGCTTGCTCTCACTTTCACTGGCAAGTTCATCTATTCTGCTGCTGAGGCATTCCTTTTCTGGTGTTGGAACCAGCTTCTTCAGGATTCCAACAAAGGCTAAAGACTAGGAGCTCCCCAGGAATCTCCTAGGACCCCAAACTGGGACTGTTGAACTATCCAGCCTTGTGGACAGAGCAGCGACAGGATTCTTGGCCTCTCGGAGTGAGGCAGCCATTACTATATTATCCAGTCCATATCCTGTAAGCCGATCTAAATATATATATAGTTTATATACATATGTGAATATATATTGAAAGGACTAAAGTCAGCACAGAACACACCAAGACCAAGTTCTCAGCACAAAGGAGATTTTTTTTTGTCCCAGAGGGACAAAGACAGGGATAGGAGACAAGGGGGAGGGGAGAAAGAGGGCAAGGGAGAGGGGAAAGGGATATTTGCCTCAGAGGAACAAAGGACTACCTCTGGATAGAGAGGAGACAGATGTTACAAATGGCACATGGCAGCTTATAAAAGGAAAAGGGGAAACCCCATGTGAGGAAGAGGTGTTTGATTTTAATTGAACAGGTTAACTAGCATAGTCAAAAGGGGGCTTTTGATTGCTGGACTTTGATACTTTGAGAGTTGTACCTTGGTTGTCAGCCTCAGGAGGAGGAAGTGGCTAAAGAAGGAAACAGACCTTGGTGGCTAGCTTTAGGAATGTGAAACGATTTTTTAGCAACAGGGAGAAGGATAAAAGGCAAAACCTGTTGGTATCATGTTTCCCACGCATAGGCTGCAAAAGCCTTCCTTTACATTATTCTATCAGTTTTTTTCCTTTAGAGAACCCTAATGCATGCCATCACAGGCAACAAGAGAGCGTGATTTCATCTTACCTAAAAACATCTGTAACAAAGGAGCAGCCTGCTTTGCTCTAGGTCCCAGATCCTCACCAACTCCCAAAGGTCCCATGCCACCTGAGGTCACCAACACAGCTACACTGTGGTACAGCTGTCACAAACATCCCGCAGAGCCGTGTTGCCTTGGCTCCAATTCCAATAGTTTACCAGTCCAGTGGCCTTACCGAGTTGTTTTGCTACCCTGTTTCTCGGAAGCAAAGATGTGGGCACACAGGGCAATATCTGCCTAGAAAGTTCCTGGGACACCTTGATATGCTTCGGTATTGTTCTGATGTTTCCTTCAGTCTTTCTCTCTATTTAAAACAAAACATGAGACCTTAGTTTTGGTGAAGTCCTGTATGCACAGCCCCAACAGACCAGACCCAACAAACAACAAACACTACACATTTTCTTATCAGACTGTAACTTGCCACCTGGGAGATCCCAGTTCACCTGGCCTTATGGGCAAATTTCCTCTCTGCTTCAGTCTCCAACAAAGTGGAGACTCCACTTGTCTCTATCCCTCGTTTCCACTTCAAAAATTCAGTTTCATGCTGGACATAATGGACTAGCCTATTGTCCTGATTACTGCCAAGACTCCTGAGCCAGGAGGATAGAGTTTAAAGCCAGCCTGGGCAACTGAGACCATTAAGGTCTTGGATATGGATTAGTGGCAGCCCGCTTCCTAAGAATTCCCTATGTCCAGAGTTCAGTGCACCTGAGAAGCATGAATAGTACCCTGCCTAGACCCACTGGGGAGCAGCCCCTAAACACTACAAACGAATTCAATCTACAGCTAATTTTGCTCAAATTCTGTCTTAGGATAGCTCCCTGCGGAGGTGCAGTCTCTAAAAGCTGCGGTCAGCTCTTTCTCTCACTAGAGAGCATGACCTCGGGGCAGAGTGCAAATTCCAGCAAACCCCTGTCCCGTCCTGAATCTCCCGGGTCCCGCAAGTCCTCACTGATCAGATCCAGCTTGGGGTTGGCGGTATTAGTCACTCTGGCGTCCTGCGCACACTGTCGATCAAGAGTGTCCTTGTGTCTGAGGATAAGGCAGGCGAAGCCTATCTGACATCCGCCCGCCCATCCTGGAGTGTGGCGTCATCCCACCGAGACGCTCCCTTCCCTCCCCCCATTGCCCCAAGTAGCGGCTGGCTGCTGTACGTCATCAGTCCGTGCCGACTGGTAACAGGAAAGTGCAGATGTGAAGACTCAGCTCGGATGCGGTTCCGAGTTTGGAGTTACAGGATTTCGTCCCGGTGGCTCTCGGCCTGGTTAGAACCATGGGGCTTACGCCCTCGGCCCAGGTCAAAGCTGTCCTGTTTTGGTCCAGGCCTCTTGAGGCTCTGGAGGGCACTTTCGGGGGGAGTGGGACCGCGGCTCCTTTGAGATGCACTTTACCCAGAATTGCTCCTAATTTCCCAGGGGGACCTCCTTACCAGGAACTTGTACAATAATACTCCTAAAAGAGCTTCTCCAAACTCCAGGAGCATTCTTTGGCACATTCGTGCCTGCACATATTACACAATAATAATAATAATAGCAGCAGCAACTGTGGCAATGGAGTTGGATGGATGGGTGGGGGAAACAGAGCTGTTGACGATCAGTTCTGTGGAGGAGAGGTGTCGTTGCAGTAGGTAAGCTCATAGAGGAAACTTACAAAGCATATACTGTCTCTCCTCCCCAGTGGGGCTCCTCCACCCCAATTCTCCAGTTCTCTGCTTCTGCCCAGCCCTTCCCAGGGCTCGCTCAACATGTTTAGATACCATCATTTCAGTCTTTCTGTGATGGCTGGGTTAAAGACTTGCCCAATCCAGTGCAATGGTGAACTTTTCTTACAATTCTGGCACCAGGGAAACTGAGGCAGGGGCATCATGAGTTTCAAATCAGGCTGGCTGACAAAACAAGATCCTTTGAAGTAAACAAATCAATCTGTCATTCTCAGCTCTGACCTGGTTTAATCCAAGACTTCTTGGTAGCATTCACCCACCTGTCCTCCAGCTCCTCCCAACTCTATGGTCCCCTCCTGGTCTTAGGACACTGCCTAGCCTGTGTGTGACAGAGAACTCCATGGATGCCTCTGTGTTAGACCCAGGGGACAATGAGACTACAGGATAAGTGGTAAGAGAAAGAACTGGACCATGCCTTCCTCAAGTGCAGACAGTGCTAAGGTCACAGAAGGGTCTCATATTGCAGGAAAGAAGGGTTTTGCCCTTGCCTCGTTAGCTACTTCCTGATAAGACTGCCAAAGGTAGGAGGGCTCTTGGGATGACCCAGCTGAGAGCCACCTGGCAGTGTCTGCAGGAGGCCTTCCTGCAGACCCCGCCCCTGCTCCCTGGTGCCTCACTTTTGCCCCCACCACATTCTACTGTCCTGTCATGCCGTCCCCCTTTTTTGGTCACTTGTTCTGTCGGCTGTCACTGGTACCCGTGAGTAGTTGCACATTTTTGTTTGTTGTTGGGAGTGGTGTTTGAGACAGTCTCCTGTAGCATGGACTGGCACCAAATTTGGGATGTAGCTCAGGATTGCCTTGAACCCCTGATCTTTCTGCTTTTGTCTTCCAAGTGTTGAGAAATACAGGTATGTGCCAACACACTTGACTGTATATTGTTTTTTATTGTGTTTTTTTTTTTGAGACAGGGTTTTTCTGTGTATCTCTGTAGACCAGGCTGGCCTTGAACTCACAGGGAACCTCCTGCCTCTGCCTCCCGAGTGCTGGGATTGAAGGTGTGTGCCACCACTGGCTTTGACTATACATTGTTAAAGTTTACTCCCACACTCTGGTCCCTTGTCTCTCACCATACCTTCCCTATCACACCTCTGTAAGTTCAAGACTCACAGGAAAGTGATGGGGGACCGGTCACCACAACACTCAGCAGAGAACATGGCTGGTGACAGCTCTGCCAGGACCATGCTCACCAGCCCCCTTCTAGTTGTAAACTCCTGTACAGTAGTGGGCACCTGAAAAGGGTGCTGGGTTGTAAGATGAACACACAAATGTTGAAGTTTATCATTGTGAATGTTCCCAGTGTGAACCAATGGATGGAGAAATCCCACTATAAACCCAACCATTCAATCCTATGGTTGTTGACCTGAAAAGCAGGCTCATGCTCTCGAGTCAAAGAACTTCTATGGGACTAGGAGAGCATTGCAACCCCGCCATGTGTGTGACTGATCACAGCATATCTCATGATGGAAAGACCAAAGGGAAGTTCACACAAACCATTTGTAACAAGGGCTTGCTGCAGGACTTGGCATTAGCTCACTGGTGAAGACATACATTTGTGTTTGTACAGGCTGTTTAACTGGATTGCTGCAGTCTCAGGCAATCTTCTGGAAATCCAGGTCTAGGAAAGAGGAGGAGCCATGCAATTGATGCAGGCTAGGAAAGAGGAGGAGCCATGCAATTGATGCAGGCTAGGAAAGAGGAGGAGCCATGCAATTGATGTAGGCTAGGAAAGAGGAGGAGCCATGCAATTGATGTAGGCTAGGAAAGAGGAGGAGCCATGCAATTGATGTAGGCTAGGAAAGAGGAGGAGCCATGCAATTGATGTGGGCTGGTGTCCTGGGAAGGGATCTTGTGTGTAGGCTGAATTTTCCCACCTCAGCAGCCGCTTCCAAATAACCAACACAAAGGCTTATATTAATTGCAAATGCACAGCAGTAGCTAGGGTTACTACTAACTAGCTCTTACATTTCAGGTTAACCCATATTCCTTATTTACTCTCTGCCATGTCAGGTTACCTTTATTAGCATGGCACGTTCATCTCCTGCTCCTCTGTGTCTGCCTACTACTGTTTTCATCCCAGCCTTCCTCATCCCATCATTCTCAGTTTGGCTTTCCTGCCTAACTGTATCCTATTCAGCTATTGGCCAGTCAGCTTGTTTATTAAACCAGCCACAGTGACATATATTCACGCAGTGTAAAGGCATTTGCCACAGCACTTGTGGGAAACTATCCCACTGAACCCAGTGTCTGTTCACACTGCCCTGTGTCCTCTCACCCCCAACACCACACTTCACTGTGAGGCACATATAGTCTCTGCCCCATTTCCCCAGGCCCTGGCTTAGCATCCACCAATTTTGGTTTCTTTAATTTGTTTTGGTAAAGGTGGCAGGACATCCAGGCTCTGCTAACATGACCTGTTTGGGCTTCTAGGGCCCAGGAAACTTTGCTAACAGAAAGACCTTGCCTAAAAAAAAACAGACAAACAAATCTCCCAAATAACAAATAACTGCTTTATATTTTAATAGCAACTAAAACGAGGAATAATGGCCAGCTTTCTACCTGCAGTCCCAAGCAAGTGAAGCCTTCCTGATAAACATTCATTCTCTCTGGAAAACTGTGCCCTTTATTTTTGCCAATACCAACAAATATGGGCATGAGCTTGTGTTCCCCACCGTGAAAGCTGTGGTGACCTGGGGAAGCATTTTGTTGGGTTCTGACCCCTTTATTTGGACAGTCAGGTATTCCAGAGTCAAGATTTTGGGAAAAGGCACAGATCATTTCTCTTTAAATCACTTTGTCACTGAATTTTCTCTCTCAGTACCTTTGAGATTAGAGGAGCCACATTGAGTCACTAGCTTCTCTCTGTGTCTCTGCATCCCCCTACACACACACACACACACACACACACACACACACACACACACACACACACCTCCCTTACTTTCCAGGATCAATGGATAGTGACTTGTTGATCAACCTCCTGAATAGGTTGGTATTTGCTATTCAGCAGGCTGAGGCCCTTTGCTCTGATTGTATAGACATCATGAGGAGGCAAAAGGAAAGTTCTTCAAGGACTATCAGGTTTTGATGGCCTTTGTATCCCTTGGCTTATGCTAACATTGAATTTATGACAGCATGCAGCGTGAGCAACAACAAGTTGCACCCTCTAGTGTTACATCTGTGTAGGACTGGGACCCTGAGTCCTACAGTGACAAGTGTAGCTCTTATATGTAGGTCTAGAGTGTCAGAATTCTCCAGCCTTTAACATCACTGGTGTTACAGCTCCCGGGTGTAGGGTGTCTGAGACCCTTGGTTCTCCAGTCCCAACAGCTCTCTGGAATTCTTCATGCAGCCTATAGCTTTTCTTTGGCTCTTTACAGCCTTCCATTCTTCAGCCTCAACTCTGCACACTCTCTTTCTTCCCGATGTTCTGATTTCTGACCTTGCTGCCCTGACTTTTCAGCTGCTTCTTTTGCTATGACTACTGTGATAGCTGCTGCCACTGCAATGCTTTGCTGTTTCTCTCACACTGTCCTCACTGACGTTGCAGCTGCTACCATCATCAACTCTCTGCTACCACCCACTGCCAGCTCCTGCCACCCTTCTGTTGCTGCTCCCACAGCTCCACCATCTCCACTCCTGCAGCTCCCCTGCTGCGGTCATTGCTGCTGCCCCACTGTCACTTTTAGGAGCTGCAATTTGCTTCAGCAGCAAGCAATTGTAATTGTTGTGTAGCTGCTTCAAAATGTCCACGGATCAACCTGGCTCTCTGGGAGTCATAGTTATGTAATCATTTCCACAGATCAGATGGGATGGATGGGGATTCTGGCACTCGGGAGTCACAGAATATTGAGTGTTACAGCTCAGATAGGAAGGTATTTTGGCACCAAGGAGTCACGGAATACTGGATGTAACAGCTCAAATGCAAAGGTCTTCTGGCAATTGAGATCCAAGGAATACCACAGGTCACAGTAAGCATAGCAGCTTACAGCCGTGCTTTAGTGAAAGGCCTCCCTAGTGTACCAGCTCTGCTCCAGCAGGAGAGGGTTTCCCTGGCAAAGTTGTTACATTTCAACTCCAGTTCAGGTTGACAGCAGGGTGTAACAACTTGGCTTCACCAGGGAAGGTTTCCCCAGAGAAAAGTGTTACATCCCTGTTCTGCAGTCTCTGCTCCCGCAAAAGAAGGTCTCACCCAAATCTCATTCAAGAGTTTTCTTGGGAGGGAAGAATCCAGGAGAGTGGCTACCCAAACAGCCAGAAGCTGAACAAGCATAGGGTTTGTATAGGGCTTCTTAGGGGCAGTGTTTTTCTAGGGAGATTTCCAGGGTGGAAATTGGTCAGATTTCAAATCCTGCGCTCAGAATGGCTAGATCTCCTGCT